CTTTCGAGTCGGATACATCATCTGACTCGTCAGAATAGATTAGCTCTATTTCGGACTCATCTTAATTACGATTCGTGGTACCCGCTGCAGACGCAAACGGATGTACCTGTCGCACGTGGTGACTCACCACGTGGACAATTCATAACAACAGGCGACGAATCACCTGCTGCTGAGGTGTGAGAGGCAATTTTCGTGGCTGCACGCATGCGTAAAACAGCCCTATTTGCTACTGCGGTAGCAACTCGCGTGGTTTTCGAAACCATGCGTTGGTTGGCAAATGAATGGGGTTTGACCAATAAGTGCTCCCTTTCCCAGAGTGATCCAACGGTGGTCACCCTGTCTCAATCAGTTCTGATTTAATTAATGGGTGATTGATGGCTAAGGGGGGGGGTGTAACGGGTAGCCCGTTGCATGACTTTGACACCAAACGGTGTCAATAGGAATATTGTCTAGCATGACAATATTCTACCAACATTATCCGAGATGGATTATATTGAAGGAAAATTATCCCCTTTTTGGATAATGTTTATTCTCTTTTTCAAGATTGGTTGTTAAAAGACATATCAACCATAGATTACCACCAAACGCTTCTATACGCGCGCAATGAGTGGTGAGCAGGTTGTCGTCATACGACGACGTAGTTTTATACAGTAAGGTAAAGATTAAAGCTATATTTATAGCTTAACTATGTTAATTACAGTTCTCTTTTTACCTTTACTTAAACTCGACGTTCAAGTAGATTAGCTTCCTCTGCACGTACTAGTTTACGTAAAGTTTCGTGGCTCCCAGACAAAGGGTGCCCCGTTACAGTTAAGCTATCAATTTAACTACAGTATTTATCTAACTGTAATAATCGACATTGTCGTATGAAGACAATCTGCTCCTCACCCATTGCGCGCGTCTAGCAGCGATTGCTGGTTAATATGTCTTTTATCAATCAATTTTTGAGCAGCACGTAAATGTTATCTAAAGGGAATATATTCCTATAATACTACCCAGATCGGGTACTATTGGCAGGAGATTGTCACGCTAGAAAATCTTCCGATTTGGACCCTGTCTGGTTATCAATATCATGTAACGAGCTTTCCCAATACAGCACCCCCCACTAATTATCAATCGCCCGTTGATTGAATTTGAATGATCGGAAACGGGTGATCACCGTTTAATCACTCTGGGAAGAGGAGCACTTGCTGGTAAAATTTAACTCATTCGCCAATTCATCGCATGATGCCAAATCCCATTCCGTGCGATGCTGAAGCAGCCACGAAGGCGATTTTACGCATGCTTACAGTCGAAGAGAGTACTTCCTAAGCCTCAGCAGCAGGTAATCCTTCATATGCTGTTGCAATTTAGCAACAGGCCGTTCTTGTTGCGAATATTTTATGTGGTGAGTCACCACGTGCGACAGATACATCCGCTGTATCTGCAGCGGGAGCTACGACTCGCAATGCAGATGAGCCTGGAATAGAGCTCATCAATTTTGGCGAGTCGGATGATGCATCCGAACTAAAAGCGGCGCCTCCTGCCTCTGGATTAAATGGGGCGGAAACTGTCAGATCCAGGCTGACTGGCTCTGGGGAACATGGCGCATTCATACCCGAGATCTTCGGACCGAGCGATTCGTCTGACGAATACTCGTCTCACGCAAATTCATCTGAAACTAGGACGCGTGGTGATGGTGGTGACTCACGTTTAAGTCGTCAAGAGAGAAGCAAATTGAGGGACCGAGCTGCTACTGTTGTCAGTACTAACGCTGATGCCACACGAGTGCCCAGAAAACGCAGGGTCCTGCGCCATTCTCCACAATTTTACTATCCCTATCCGCCATCATCCAAGGAATAACACAGAGAAAACGGTATGACCATGAAACGGGATCGAATCCCGTTTCTCGACTGTAAAAGTACACGTCCTCTTCATTCTAGCACGGAAACTATCCGTCCTGAGGAAGAATTCTTCACCGATGCTTTTTCAAACATCGGTGGTCCAATGGTAGCCGTGTTCGAGACGGTAATGCCTTGGTGCAAGGATGGAATGCCTTTATCCATAACATCAAGTGCGCTGGCCGTGAGGCCTAGCTCGCCAAAATTGATGCAGCTCGCATCAGGTTTGAGAAACGCAACTCCGTCGGGGCGCGATACAAGTTGCACCGGCTTTTAAGAGAGGCAGGATTGCCCTGTCTCTCGTGGGGTGATTTGTGTCCAGGTTGCCTGGACAACTCGAACCGTGCCCCTAGGGAGGCCTCCCTCACTAATGATCCCTACTGGAGGGCGCGCATCTCTTCCGAGATGGCCTAAGGGATTGACACCTTGCAATCCCTGTACTCGTGTTCGAGGAGGTCGTTTTCCGACGGCACTTCTTCGAACGCAGCGGGTGGGTCTCGTCGTGCTGCTCGATGAGACCAAGGACATCAACAGTTATTTGGGCGCCAGGTTCCCAGCTGTCCTACGACGGTGGATAGCCACGCCAGCGGAAGACGTAACTCGTCCGGACACCATTCACATCTCAATGGTTCAAGATACGCTCCACTACAAAGCGTTGACCACCGCTTGAGTCCACCAAAGGATGTGGTGGCGGCGGGAACACCTGATCCGGCTCGAGGGTCGGATCAGATTAATTGTCAGGAACTGAACCGTGTAACGGATTAGTTACACGATGACTTGGCTCATGAACGAACTCGGCGTTACGAGATCCATGATCTTGTACAGGATAATTACAATTCCTTAGCGCACGATCGTCCGAACGATCGTGCCGCATTTGCGTTCGTGCAACTTAGGAACATACGTCCGATTCGCTGTCTTCGTGACGAGCTGACTGCAGCTCGTTAGGACATCGCTCAACTGCATGAGCAGGTCGCCAAACTAGTTGACCAGACTGTCTCGTTGAAACGGGACCACTTGAAGGTGGTCTCGGCTCTCGACCGCGGAAGTGTTCTTCGCATTTCGAAATGGGCTCGTACTGATAGTACGGGCGGATAAGACCGACGTAAAACGTAGGACGCGTACGCATCTTACGGGGAAGTTCAATCGTGTATGCGTTGCTCATTTGGCGCACACACGAAATGGACCGATGTACTTGGGCAGTAATTTACTGCTGCCCACGTTTGTCACTGCGTATTTCGGTAGGTTTACTGTAGACAATAAAACTAGGTCTCCTTCATCAAATGAAGGAACATTTGCTCTTCCATGTCTGTCTGCGTTTCTCTTCTGTCTGTATAGTGCATCTGCAAAAGAGTATTGAACGAAGCGGACAACCGCTTCACGAGTCAGCAGAAATTCCTCTGCTGATTGATCCTTGTCAACAGCAGTGTGCTTCGTGTGCACTGCTGAAAGAACTTTGTCTTCACCAATGAGGGTGTCATCGTCAGCACTTTGGCAGTCATTGGCGATGCTGAATATATTAGCATCATCATCATCATCATCATCATCATCATCATCGATATCGATCGCATCGACATCGGCATCCATCACGTCGACACCATTGTCGACGGGTGATGAGCAAGAACCAGATCGGTTTTTGTTCGAGTGATTCCAACCTCCCCCTTAAACTAGATTCACACTTTAAGAAGGCGGGTAAACGTGGATGGAGTAGGCCATTCACGAATACCGGTGTCTGTGTTGTCGACGCATGCATCGAGTTGTTGATAGCGAATTTCGCCATCGTCAAGAATTCATTCCAACTCGTAAACAAGTGGACATACCCTCGAAGTACCTCTTCGAGGACGCAGTTGACGGGTTCCGTCTGACCATCTGTATCTGGATGGTCAGAAGTTGACATCTTTAACCTTGCTCCAGGAAAACGGCACAAGGATTGCCAGAACTCCGCTGTGAAGCAGGGGTCTCTCTCGGACACGAGTTCACGGGGTAACCCGTGAAGTCGGGAGATTTTATCGATGAAGCCACAAGCACATATCTGGGCTGTGATTGACCCCGGTTCAGCAACAAGATGAACCATCTTGCTGAACCGATCAGCAAACACAAGAGTACGAGTATTTTTTGTGAGCGTATTTGGGAAACCCAAAGACGAAATTCATCGATACGGACTGCCAGAACTCTGCCGGAATCGGAAGAGGCTGCAAGGGTGCGCGGGATGAAGGACTAGGCTTCACCCGTTGAAAAACTTCGCAAGCGCGAAAATACATGTGCACAAAATCATACTTGCGAGGCCAGTAGAAGTCACGACTTACCGTGAAGTAAGTCGTTTCTCTACCGCGATGCCCACTTGTTGGGGCATCGTGACACTTATAAATGATGCGCAATCGCAAATCATTATGATCCGGAACGACGACACGAGGTGCGTCGCCGTTGACTGCTGTATAGTACAGCAGTCCACCACGAACAGAATACCGTTTGGTTGAAGAGCGGTATTGAGACGACAAGCTTTTCAAAGCTTGACTGCACGTATTGGATACGTAATCCATCAATCGCAGAAGAGACTCATCTTCTGCGTATGCTCTTCGCACGTCTTTGAGCAGATTCGATGACGGAACACGCACTGATCGTGTTGCAACAGTGTGATCACCCCTACTGTTGTGTTGAGCAGTCGGCTCGAGATCGGGCCAACGCAGAAGAGCATCAGCGACGACATTAAGTCGTCCTCGTTCATACTCGACGGAGAAGTTGTACTCCACAAAAAACGACAGCCACCTCGCCATTCGTTGCGATAGGTGTGGACTGTTTACGGCTGTGCGTAACGACGCATGGTTGGTAAAAACGATGAAGGGCCCATCTCCTAAGAGATAGACCCGAAACTTAGCCAGTGCAAGTTTCATGGCACGTAGTTCCTTGTCATGCACCGGATAGTTTCGCTCAGCTGCTTGCAGTTGACTCGATTGATAACAGACGACGTGCTCAACGCCGTCTGAGTCGTACTGCATTAACGCGCAGCCGATTTCAAAATTGCTGGCGTCACAGACCACATGAAATGGTCTATCCTGGTCTGCAAACGCCAACACAGGCGATTGCACCAAACTTTTCTTGATGCCCTCAAAAGGGTGCTGACACTCAGCGCTCCATGACCACCTCTCGTTTCTCTTTAACAAACGAAAGCGATGTACGGTCATCTCGGCATAGTTGCGCGAGTATTTGTGCAAGTACACCGCCAAGGAACTTTCGAAGTACCTTGACGTCGACTGGCACAGGCCAGTCGCTAATCGCCTTGATCTTTTCCGGATCAGGGCGTACACCGTTTTTACCCACGCTGCAGTCAAGATATGATATTTCGTTTGCTGCGAATATACACTTCTTGAGGTTCGCGAGCAACTTATGCCCACGCACAAGTGTAAGAATATCCCGGACGTGGATTCGATGAGCCTCCACGTCCGTCTTTCCATCCATAGGTCGAATATGGACGAAGAAATCGTCAAAGTAACTCGGTGCAAAATCTCGCGCCGATCGCAACAGGTTCGTAACACATCTATTAAACGTTGTGGGGGCGTTACTTAGTTCCTGTGGCATTACTAGCCACTCCCAGAGCATACCGCTGGGGGTGCTAACTGCTGTGTCAGGGATGTTCCGTTCACGCATGAGGATCCGATAGAATCCATTCATCAGATCCATGGACGAAAAGATGGTACTCTTTGCCATACCATCTATGATGACATCCTTTCTTGGGATCGGCGTTTGAGCCGGTACCGTGGCAGCGTTCGGTTTGTTGAACGCGTGCACAATCCGCCACCCTCCTATGGCCTTTCGCACACAGAAGGTCGGAGAGCTGTGTGAAGATGTTGATTCTCTCACATGACCAGCCGCTAAACGATCGGAAAAGAATTGGTCGATCGCTGTTACCTGTTCACGAGGCAGTGGCCACTGATTCATGACACAGTACTCCGAACCAGGTTTCAATTCGATCTCATGTCGAGTGCCTTTGATCTTAGGCAACTCGCGTGGCACCGATTCAGACAAAAACATCCTTGAATTCGACCAAATCATCATACAAGGATTCTTATTTTTTCGACACTCTCGTCCATCGATGAGCTACTGAGAACCCATTCGTTTTCAGTAAACACTTATGCCGACCGAATATCGGCGCCGTACCCGTCCTCTGTGACGAGTGCACAGATCCGCTTGATCTTTTCACTACGCAGATCTTGCAATAATATTTTAGATTATAGCGTTGACAACTTGATCGCGTCCGAACCTAACTTCGGGGGCATAACCAGATTAAGTGTATAAGCGCCTACACTTGACCCGTCATTCACCAAGACATTCACTGTCTCGATGATTTCATGGGAAACCACAATTGTAGGTGGTTGGGAAAACACACCCTCAACATAACTCTCTCGGGAGTTATCACTCTCAGGAAGCTGGAACTTTCTTCCAATAAGTTTTCTGATTGTGGGTGCACTACCACAGTCACGTCCTCTTCAAACAACTCTCTTTCAGTCGATCGGGCTTGCTCTACGATCGACTCTCTGTTAGTTGATCTTGCTTCAACGTGTTGTTCATCCTGAACAACACTAATCTCTCTTCTTGGATGCACCCTTATTAGTGTGCATCCGTGTTCCAGTCCACTCGATCTCTTCGAGTGGTGAACCTTCGGCGCAGCCTGTGTCTTTACACAGGTGCCGGAAGATAATTCCACAGTGCAGTGGCCTTTTACGCTGTGATCTTGTGCAGTCGTACTAGCGACCGTACCACAAGTGAGGCCATCGCAATTACTCGTAGTACATCCACACGCTTGTGGACTCTCCAAGACGTTCATCAGATATCCATCTGTTGAACAAACGGCAGGCATCTTCACGGATCGATGCAGCCAGCTGATCCATGGCCAGTACTTTCTAAGCCATGTCAGACCAAGGATGACATCAAATTTGTCATCCAAATCCAGTACGATGAAGTCATCATCGTATTGCTTTCCTTCTAGCGTGTAGTGGATTCCCACTACACGTTTGTTCACCGTTACGCATGCGCCTGTAGCAAGGCACACCGTCATCCTCGTTGGAAGGAACTCTCGCTGATCAGATTTGAGCCTACTATCCTCTAGCGGCTGACGTCGAATAAAACTGTTCGACGCCCCACAGTCAACTAGGGCGCGAAGTGACATTCCACTTGTCACTTCGATCTTCAAAGTGATGAGAGACTCCTCATCACTAGGGGCAGTTACACACAGCGGCTGTGTGTTGGGAGCAATCTCCATCAAGAGTCCTGCAAATTCTCTTGACATTACTGGATCATCAGGGTGCTTCGCCCCTACTGACCATGTCCGTTTTTTGACGGTCCGACTCGCTGTCGCGGCTTAGCGACATGGTCGGACCCACGCCTCGGACCTTTCCTTGGCCAACGGTGGTCATCACGTCCTGTCTTTGGACGTGCTGCGGTACTCGGGACACTACACTCATGAGCGTAGTGTTAAATCTTCTGACAGCGATGGCATCTTGCCGATCGCTTGTGGATCAGAGAGAGAGAGAGTTCTCGCTCTCGATATAACAGAGGTCTATTGGTTCGGGACCTCCTGTTTCCTGTCGTCTCGTCTGACGATAATTTGGCGAGCTAGAATGAGACTGTCTCAGGCTGAAGTCTTCTTGTTTCGCATACGCTATCGCCTTTTCCAGCGTATGGAAGCCCTCTCGGAACATGAAGGTCTTCACTGGTCCATCTACAAGGCCGTAGATAAAAACTTTGATGAGTGTTTGCTCATCAACAGAGTTTTCCGTTACTCTACTAGCAAGGTAGCGTATGTGTTGTGCATTAGCGTGCACATCACGCTTACCTTCCTTGAGCCTCAGGAGTGCAGAGCGTGCTCTGAACTCGGCTCTTGTCGGCTCAAACGTCTCTTTGAGCCGAGACTTCAAGATCTTCAACGACTCAAACGCGTTTGGGTCGTGAAGCTTGATCCCTAGGACCCACCTTTTTGATCGTCCTGTTGAGTTTGACAGGGAGAAGGTGACTTGCATCTCGTCACCCTCGATGTGAAGGGCCCTCACGGCGTCGTCTAACTCGACAAAACATCTCAAAAAGGAATCTTAATCGGTTTCCTTGTACCTTGAGATATCTATCTTCAAGGTATTGGTCGACGCATGTGCGTCGGCCCGTCCATCGACTGATGAGAGCCTTGCTGTTGTAGCAAGGCTATCTTCTGTCTTTCAACAGCAAGTTACTCTTGTAATAACTTGTTGATAGCAGCATGTTGTTGGTATCTGCTTAGAGACTCCAACAGACCACTGATGGCGGGTTCGCCCATGAGCACACTCATGCGGCCGACTACCTCCCATTCTGAGTCACTCAGATGGGAGTAGCCTTCACGTTTGACGTTGAAATGTCGTCTTCTACGTCCAACATGAACATGTTGTACGGGTATTAAGTAGTCGTTAGACGGACAACAAAGTGCCACAAGGTGCAAGAGGGCACCCTTTATATGGGTACCACGAAACTTCACATACACTCGTACGTGCAGAGGAAGCTAATTTCCTCAAACTGCTAGTTTGAGTAAAGGGTAAAAAGAGAACTGTATTCAGCAAAGTTAAGCTATCAACATGACTTTAATCTTTATCTAACTATATTAATCTACATTGTCGTAAGAAGACAACCTGCTCACCACTCATTGCGCGAGTCTAGCAGCGATTGTTGGTAATCTATGGTTGATTTGTCTTATAACAACCAATCTTGGAGCAGAACGTGAATATTATCCAAAAAAGGGATAACATTCCTTCAATACTACCTGTCTCGGATAATCTTGGCAGGGGATTGCCACGCTGGACAGTATTCCTTCAACATTTCCTATCTCGGATAATAATGGCAGGGGATTGCCACGCTAGACAATTTTCCTATTGACACCGTTTGTTGATCGAAATCATGTGATGGGATATTCCGTTACAGTAAAGATTTGTACGTAGTAGACTAAACGGCATTCTGCCGATCATTGCTGACGAGTTTATTTCGTATTAGGCGTCAATTGAGGCCCCGCTAAATCCCACTACCTAGCGCGGTCAGGCAGCCACCAAAACCCAGACAAAATTTCATGTGCACGCGCATATAATTTTCGCTGCATCTATTTTTTCGTTGTGGATATTATTAGTAGTAACATTATACGTATGTTATATACTTTGCGTCGCGTGATTATGACTCCTCGACCATAAAAAATGAAGAAAAAGTTTGTAATTTCTATGAATTGCAGAACAAGGCAAGATTTGCACGTGCAGCTCTATTTCAAAGCGAAGATAGATTACTATAATTTAATAATACCAGATGGCACTCTTCGTGCTGTCGACCTTGCATGCCTATCATGACGATTTGAAGATAGAGCTTTGCTGAACATAGTTGTTGTCGTACTTGCAAGCTCGAGCAAGCACAGGACCCAACCATGTATATCTCACTTGCGTACAATAGACCTCAGGCAGAGACATGTTCTTGAAAAACGGACGATCTTTTGACCAGCATTCACATCGTTTGGGATATACACATGACATGCATCACAACCTGGCGACGGGAGACTTGTGCACGACCTAGCGACATAATTGTCGAATGGAGCTACTTATCCGAGACGAAGCTGCATGTGGCGCTTCTACGCTGTTGACTAATCGTATATGCAACTCTACGCATGCGGACACGGGATAGGGATAAAGACGCCTTATAAACTGTAGACGATCTCGATGGCGGCTAGCTGACAGGACTGCCAGGAGGCGCTTGCGTGTACAGGTCGGAATGCTTGCCTAACGCCACATATACTAATTCGTGTAAGGGTTGACCTTGCCGATGTACGTGGAAGGTGGTTAGAGTTCTGCCTGTTGCTCGTGTAGAAAGAAGTCTTCGATGCCGCTGTCATCGGGTCTGCCCTTTGGGGAAGACTATCAGCTCAACTGATAGACGGACTGCAATGTAGGCTTGTAATTTCATGTGTCGCAAACGTATACACATCACTCGATGATCTTTGCCGCGACAACGTGATTCAGTACCATCCAAGTCGATATGGTGAAACAATTAAAATTGGACGTTCCTCTATGTAAGAACCTCGATCGAGGGTAAAATTCATGTTTAACGAAATCCGTATCCCGCACAAAGCCTCTTCACTTGGTTATCGTGTGCTAATTTATATAAGGTTCGTAATAAACAGGGCAATAAATCAGCGCGCATGAACCACCAATTCTCCTTCTCAATTAGAATTACCAATGTCTTGCATTTTCTGCCAATAAGCGCTTTCGCTTCCGTTCCACCTCAAGCGTGTGATTATACAATCTATTTCGATAACCAACATACATGGTGTAGTATACACATTAACAGAGCGGTTGCACTGATAAGCAAAATTATTGTATCACATACGCTAAGCGATAATACTGTATCTTATCGATTGCGGATCGGTGGTATCAATCAGAATAGAGTTTGTAAAGGAAGTCATAGTTTTGGTGTGTTAACAGAAAAAGACTCTTATTTAATAATCTTGGATTAGATATTACAGTTTCAAGGATAAGTTTTTAAGTGGAAAAAATTATTCAGTTGATCGCGCTCAATTGGCAGTGAATCGGATGGTTCTTATAGAGCTGATGGCCAATACTAACCACGGGATGAGTTCCATTTTACGGAATCAGCTCTATTCTTTCGCCTTCCTCCAAACGAGACACTAGAAGCGGTCAAGCAAAACTTAATGAAGTCAGAAAGGATCATATCAAAGTCGCAATGTTCTGCAATATGAATGGCATCGAGGATATGGATCTTGTTGTCATAGGCAAGTCAAAGCAGCCACGAACATTTCACAAGACCAACACCAAGCGAATGGAGATTATGTACTTCAGCATTTAGACTAAGTGACAAAACAGTTGCTGAATGGATCTGTAGCGGAGCTACACAGCCCCTTAAGTCAGAGGAAGACTTAACGCTCTACGAGCAACCTAGTACCAAAGAACTAACGACTTTACGAGTCAACAAGCTTTACAGCTTCAGATCCCTGTTCCAGGGGGACCTAAAGATTCAGTGAATCGACAGCACTCAGTGCTCAAGAGTAGCTACCTCAAGGAGGTGTCGCTAGCTCTTAGTGATCAGTGATCAACAATCAAGACGGCTCGCAAGCCACGTGTCCTTCAGATCAAAATGGGAACTGATTTTATTTTGTTAGCCTATACAACATCTTAATCCCACTCAAAGATCTTTCGTACCTAATGGCTGACACTCGTCAGCCCCTACAAACCAATAAGATATTCGATATCACCTTCACAAGGGATAACCTCAGGTGTGTAACACCCCTGGTACAACGTACCATAATTTCGTGCAACCCCGTTGCACCCTCCCCCACCAGACTGACGTTTGCCAAAACGTCAATCGAACTTGTGTTCTCAGCGAGAACAGTGCGCGTACGGTGAACCTCACGGTAACGTACGCTCCAACACGATGTCCTCATCACCAAACGAGTCAAAGGCTCTGTGTGACTACCTCGGGATAGAGGAGGAGGTGGACTACGGTAGCAATACCAGTGTCCGCGGTGATACAGGGACAATGTCCGGCTCACTGATGCCTGTGGCACAACCTTCGAACACCCCAAATACGTTCGCTTAACGTGGAGGTGCGAGCGCGCCACCAGCGCAGTATGCAGCGTCTGGGTCTGATGAGACTATCATCACGAACCCGCTCGATATGCAACAACAACTGCTTGTTCAAAGAGAAGAAAAGGCTCAGCGTCATGTACAAATGGCTACAACCCTTGAACGCCAGCGTGACTATGTGTTCACCCCACCCAGTGTGGAGGAACGTCTACGTCAAGCGGCCGGCCAAACATTGGCAACGTGGGTCATTGGCCATGGGCCTTAGACTCCTGAGTAGGTAGCTAGCTGCCATGTACTTCGCGAGAGGTACCTGGAGCCGCACCTAACGACTCAAAGTCAATACAAGGCACGCCTTGACATGCAAGCGCGTGGTACACCGGTTCCACCGATCAAGAGTATACCCATTCTCTTGTTCGCAGGCGAAACATTGAGCAAAGAAGACGATGCCTTTGTTCACTGGGTGCACTATGTGCGTCGCCTCAGCAACATTTTTGCTCTAAGGGCTAGTGCCAGTGTGGCTGACGTGCGTCTTGAATGCAAGCTTCGGTATGATTATGCCAAGCTTAAGGCCAGAGGCCAATTGCGCAAGCGCACGCGCTATTCTTCGGCTACTAAGGTAGCCGCGAGTGCTGGTCAGTCTGTGGCCAACAACCCGCCAACCCGCACCACTAGTGGTGGGGAACGGCCTCGGCCTCGAGACGACCATGGCCACGATGCTTAAAATCCTCCAAAGCATATGGGCAGTCTTGCCGAAGGGGTACCTGAAATTCCCATAAGTTTTCAGACTCAGGGTACCCGAGCCACTTTACCAGATACTGGTATTGGCCCTGACGACGACGTCGTTTCAGTAGTCTCTCGACATGAAATTGACGACACCCATGCTCATCGAGCAAAGTCGGTGGCGGCCGGTGTATCGGTGGAGGCCCACGAGAAATTGGTTCTCGAAGTGAAGGGTCTTCAAGAGGCCTTGGGTAAGTCCCAGTGCATGCTGGATGCAATGCAAAGCCGCCTTCAGGCGATGGAGCAATATCAAACTCGGAGCGAGGCTCAGTTGTACTTGCTGATTCGTCTACAGCAATCCGGGGCAGTGCCCTTGTCGTCGGCGCAAGCGCCTCCAAGTTCACATGGGAAGGATCCCGGTACGGCTTAAGTAAGCCTACGTAAAACACTGGATGTGTGCGCAATTTGCGCGGAAGGTTTAGCGTATACGCAAGTCCCTTCTTGGCCGTGACCGTAAACGGTCCAATAAAGCGTGGACGCAACTTCGTCATAAAGACAGCAGACACTACGGTTGTAGGTAGATTTTTAGCATTGAGTAGTACTTGGTCTCCGACCTCATAACGTTCAATACAATTTCTGCCTTTGGCATCAGCTTGTTGTTTTTGGGTATCTTGGCTATAAGCCATTGCGTCACGCACATGTCTTAAGACATTTAACCGCGTTGCGAGAAACTCGCTTACCTGTTTTTGGACAGTAGCAGGGCTGATATCAGCAAGCCGATCGGCAACCTCTCCCCCACCAAGCCCTGATTCACGTAGTGATAGCGTTAACGGAACGCGAGGGTGGGTGAGACCGTTTATTTAGAACGGAGTAAAGCCTGTTGAGACATGAACAGCGTTATTCAACGCAAACTCAACAACAGGGAGCATTGAGCTCCAACGCCTAGGCGTATCAGCGCAAATACTGCGCAAAATGTCGTTGATGACGCGGTTTACGCGCTCAGTGTGACCGTCGGTCTGCGGATGATCCGCTGTGGACATGTCCAACCGAGTGCCAAGCACCTTGAATGTAGACTTTCAAAATTCCCCAGTGAAGCGGGGGTCTCTGTCAGAGATAAGTGACACAGGCAAGCCATGTTGGCGAAACCCACGGTCGATAAACAGCTTTGCTGTACCTTCAGCATCGATGCTATCCGGCACCGCCGCTAAGTGAGCCATTTTGCTTAATCGTTCAACAAAGACCACAATATTAGTGTTGCCTTCCGAATCTTTCGGTAGGCCAAACTCAAAATCCATGCTCATGGACTCCCAACAACCAGTGGGTACTGGCAAACTAGCCAGCGGCGCCGCCGCATGTGCTGAGGGTTTTACCCGTTGACACGTTTCGCACGTACGCACATAGGTGCGCACCCACTTATAAAGTTTGGGCCACCAAAAACTTTGGCTCACCGATTCATAGGTCTTCTCACGACCGAGATGACCACTTAAAGCAGTATCATGCGCCTCATAGAGGATCTGATACTTTAATTCCTCATCATGAGGTACAACGATACGAGGGTTGTCCTCAATATCCGTGCGATACACAACAGGCCATTATCGATGGAATATCGATGTAGCCTCGCACGTAAACGTGCCGACAATTCTATGTCCCATTCTTTGAACTCATCGCTCCCAAGAGCCCGTAGCAAAGCTACACACTGTTCATCCTTGGCATATGCCGCACGGATTAAGTCAGTGACCGACGACGACAGAGTCGTAACATGAGCAAGCTCATAGTCAGGTCGACGCGATAGCGTATCAGCCATCGCGTTTTGCTTACCTGGCTTGTACTTCACCTCGAAGTTATACTCGGCAAAGAAGGAAAGCCAACGAGCCATTCTCTGTGAGAGGTGAGACGACTGTGTCGCAGTGCGTAATGACGCATGATCTGTATAGACCACAAACGGCTTGGAGCCAAGCAGATGTACTCTAAATTTGACTAGAGCGTACTTCATAGCAAGTAGCTCTTTGTCATGAACTGGATAGCTCTTTTCGGCAGCTTTCAGCTGTCGAGACTCGAATGCGATGACGCGTTTGCGTCCATCGACATCTGTTTGCAACAGAGCACTGCCTATGGCAAAGTCAGATGCGTCACAGACGACACTGAAAGGCCGATCAGGATCGGGCAAAGCCAATATTGGCGCATGAAGGAGACTTTCCTTAACGGCTTCAAACGCATCATGTTCGGTGTTACTCCAACACCAATCCACATCCTTTTTAAGGAGATTGGACAATGGCCGAGCCATATCTGCGTAATTCGCACTGTACTAATGTAAGTAATTGGCAAGGCCAAGCCACTTACGCAAGTCCTTTTGGTTCTTGGGGACTGGCCAATCGACTATGGCTTTTACCTTAGCGGGATCCGCTCGAAGGCCTCAATTCCCAATGAAGCACCCTAGAAAGGGAATCTCTTCTGCACCAAAGCTGCACTTCGATGCGTTCGCATACATATTATTCTTCCGCGTACACCCGAGCACCGCTCGTAAATGATCGATGTGGTTATCCACATCTGATCGCCCATTCATTGCACGACTATGAACAAAAATGTCATCAAAGTACGTTTGTGCATAGCCTCGATGAGGTCTGAATAGTTGCGTTACCAACCGGTTAAATGTAGCCGGGGCGTTAGATAGCCCTTGTGGCATAACGAGCCACTCCCAGAGCATACCGATCGGAGTGCTCACCGCTGTTAGCGGAATATCACTTGCTCGCATGAGCAGTTGGTAATAACAATCGACTAAGTCGAGCGCACTGTGTTATGTACATCCTGCCATATTGTTCTGAAGAACATCCTTTCTAGGTATAGGCGTCTGCGCCGGTATAGTGGCTGCATTAAGCTTATTATAAGCATGCACAATACGCCACTTGCCATTTGGCTTTTTGACACAAAATGTCGGTGTTGAATGGGGAGATTTACTCTCACGAACCATTCCAGCCGCGTGCTTAGCACGAAAGAATTCGTCAATGACGTCACACTGTTCTTTAGGCAAAGGCCACTGCCGTGTTACACAGTTTTTAGTTCCAGGAACCAAGTCAATTTCATGACGTACACCTCTATCGGGAGGTAAGGCAGAAGGTGAGTTGTGACACACCACATCTTGGAATTCCTTAACTAAAGGATAGAACGGATCCAAAGGATCTTTAAGGATCGAAGATCCACTTCGTGCACTGAGTGCCGCCTTTGTATCCTCTAGGACAGACTCATCCATTAACGAGGAAGAATTCAACTCAGTATCAGGTCTAATGATCGCTAACTCGGATAACTCTCCTGCCTTTAAGGCCTGGCTAAACTCGCCATCAGACATTTCGTCTAGCTCACAAAGAGCGTCCACGGATGGAAGGGTTTCAAGGCAAACACTGCCATCAACCCGACCAGTCACTCCATTAACAAGTGTTTATAGTGTATTACTATTATCACTATGTGACTGTGAGGACGCCTGGCGCCTAAAAGTAGCTACCCGGCGTCTCGATCGTCTCTTCGAGACCTTACACCCCTTAGGGGTCGGGACAATATTGTCCCCATGGTTACTACCAACCATAGTACGCTCTGTACGAAAGCTTTTGTCTTGACCGACATTAGGTGTGGTGCCCTCACGGCCGTCCACACTATACGGCGTATCGCCAACAATGCCATTACCGGCGTTAAGCGTGGTGCCCTCACGGCCGTCCACACTATACGGCGTATCGCCAACAATATCATTATTGACATTAGGATGTGGTGCATTCACGGCCGCCCACACTATATGGCGAATCGCCAACAACGCCATTACCGACGTTAAGCGTGGTGCCTTCACGGTCGCCCACACTAAATGGCGTATCACCAAAAATGTCATTACCGACATTCAGTGCGGTGCTCTCACGGCCGACCGCACTCGGTGTAGTTTCACGTGCCACCATACACACATCAAAGGAATCACATCCTTGATCACTCGGCCCTAGGCCAACCATGCTTTCAGCATGCAGTGACTCGTTATCACAACGAGTAACACTCAACGGAGTACGTGCCGTTTCACTAGACGAGCTAAGCTCGAAACTTATGTTTGTAACATTGGAGATAGATAACTCAGACATTCCAATATCCAGCACATTGACATCTTCTGTCAAAGGCTCGCGCCAGTAGCGTTTTTGTTGCCTAGCGAAGGTGGGTCCATGACTCTCCAAAGCTTCGCCAGGAACATTGCGCGTAGCGCCTAAGGTCTTGGACCTCCAATCAATCCATGCCTCATGGCGCTCAAGACAAGCCATACCTAGGATGAGATCATATATCGAGTCAAAATCTAGGACAAGACAGCGCTCAATACTGTCAAAGTCTAAAAACTTTATACCTAAGTTCAATGGAATTTTAGGCACAGTTACGCGACTTCCAGTCGCTAAACGAACCGTGATAGAATCACCCTCATGCGCTGTAAGCGCCTCAGCATAACGCTGACTTCCCTCAAGGGAACGGCGTCGAGCATAATTGCGAGACGCTCCAGAATCGATCAAAATCGACCAAGGCTTCTTAAAA